ATTCTGCCCCCCTGTTGCTTTGAAGCTAGGTAAACATTTTTGTTTGAATGGAGACAGTCTTTCTGGAAATGTATCCATTCACAAACTGCTAAGAACCTCCACGAACTTCTTGAAAGTTTGTGGAAAGTTCTTGCTGGTTGACCTGCCACAAACTTCAGTTCGTGAACCATGAACCAGCCAAAATTTGTCATGAACTCCTATCTCTAGTCAGCAGGAGATGGTAGTTTTGGCCTTTGAGGTGACTTGCTACCATATGACTTACATGACTCACTTAGGCCTGGTTGCTTTCTGCTGTTTAACAGCCGTCACCCCACAAAAGTCAGTGTTTTGTACAGTGAGTAGAATTTCAGACTAGGGTATGGGAGACACTGGTTTGAATTCCCATTCTACTGTGAAAGCTCGCTAATTGACCTTGGGCTAGTCACACACTCTCAGCCTAACAGAGTCGTGGTGAGGATAAAATTAAGGAGATGAGAATGACATAAACTGCTTTAGGTTCTCATCGTGGAGAAAGGTGGATATAAATGTTGTAAATAAATAATAAATATAGGCAAATAAAAAACTGACTGGTTGGTGAATGGGAATGACAGAAGGAAGCAAGGTGAAGATTTTTATTTTATACATTCAACTTTATATCCCACTCAGACCCCCTTGTCTAGGGGGTCTCTGAGCGGCTTATAGGTCGGTGCTAGTCACCATTGTGTTCCTTAACTAGGGCCACACATATTTTTGGGGTGGGGGAACCTACCAGCACCCCTATGGTGGTGGTTGGTGTTGGTCTATCCTCTTTTCTCCGTTGGCTCCGGTATTGGCGGGGTGCTTCTATTCGGCACTGGGTGGTAATTCTCTTCTGAGGCACGTGACTCCTGCCTCCTTCCGGTTTCAGCCACGTCCTTTCCGGCTCCGCTGTACCGGTGCTCGGCATCCTCGCGCGCTCTTTCCTCCACGGCGGCCACCCGATAGTTCATTGTCCAGCCACCAGGGATTGCTCCTCTGGTTGCACCCGCTCGCCGCTGCTGCCGCCGCCGCATTACCACGCCACGCCGTCCTCTGGAGCCGATGTCTTGCCGGCGCCGTTACCGACGTTCTCAACCACCACACTAGGCAGGGTCCCCCCCCCGCTACGGGTGGGTACCCATTTATCTACTTGCAATTACGTTGCTTTCGAACTGCTGGGTGGGCAGGAGCTGGGACAAGGGTCGAGAGCTCACCTCGACCACGGTGGTACTCGAACAGCTATAGTGGCTGTTCGAATGATGTTACTGAGCAGGCATTAACTGCCTGCGCCACCGCTCCCTTGAGGATATGGAGGCTGCCAGGAGAAGGGAAAGTGGAAATAGTGTGCGGAGGAGAATACAAGGGAAAGTGTGGTGCCCTTTACAAGTACATGTGGGTTGCCCACCACGCAACTAGACCTGGCTGAGGCCTGGCAGCTAGCATTGTGTAAGGAAAGCTGAAGACAGAAGGAAAGCTAAAGGTAGGTTGTGTGGTGGTTGGTAAGGAAAAGGGGAGAGGCTATGGGGCTTTCAGGGAATGGAAAGAGGAAATAGTGGGATGGGGAAGACAGGAGAAAATTAGATGCCCCTGCAAATCCTCATGAGTCTCCTGCTTATCCAGTTAAAATACATTCACATTTTAGAAATTTTACCATCAAAGAAGCAAGCAATAGCTGTGGCAGCTAGAAAACACATTTTTTCTAAGTTTGCTTTTGTAAAGTAATTAGTTTTTTCTTAGACTTACAATCTCAGTGACACCTGCTGGAGTATTTAAAAACAGCAATTTTTAAACCCAGTCAGTTTAAATTGAAATTAGGCAATGTGAGCAAGCTAGAAGAGGCTCAGAGAGACTCTATGTATATATTTTTTCCATTCTGGTCATAGAGAAAACCCAGCACAAGTTTATCACGTCATTTCTGTGGTAACTGTCCTAAAAACAGCTTAAAATCCATTTAAATACATGAGGACACGTCCCCATCCATTTTAAAACCCAGTAATTCAGTTTCTAAAGAAATTTGTAGAATAAGGGGATAAATCAAGGGTGAGTCAAGAGAAGCTGGCAAACTGTAACATATAACATCATATTTATTGCTATCCACGTGACAGACCCACACAGCATCTTGTGGTCTCCTTGGATCTGTTTGCTGCTCCTGATGATATATTGCCTTCTATTATATAAATACCAAGACTTGTGGTTACCCTTCAGAGATAAAAAGAAGGCACAGAACAAATGCAGTGAGGTAACTTGCACCACTGCACAACTTGGCAACTTGCATATATGTGTGTTTGCCATAGTTTTAAAAGTTATTTGCACCAGGCCTATTTTTAAAAGCACATTTCTTAACTGAGTTATACAGATTCATATATGTAACACTGTGTGGTGTTCCTACATTGTGGGGTGGGGAATACAGTGTATCCACAACACACAAACACACCACCTTTCCCAATTAAGAGTTTTGGTAGTAAGCGTTTTGAACTGTGTTTTTACATGCCATTGAGCAGGGCTTTGTTTTTTTTGTTTTGTTTATTTGTTTGAAAAAGAGGTACTGGAACTCCAAAGAGGGAAATGAAGTTTTCAATCTGTATAGTGAAAACTCATGAACTTTTAAACATTTTAAAAATAATTTTGTCTAAGAGGTTCCAGAACTCCGTTCTGGCGTGTTCTCCCAGAAAAAAAGCCCTGCCATTGAGTATTTCCTGGATATAATTTCTTCTTGCCAAATCAGATGAGATGCTGGAAGACCCATGAGTGGTTTTCTAGTATATGTAACAATTTGGATTGGTGTGGGGAGAGGTGCATCAATACCTGGGCACCAGATGACCTCCTAGCTGTTATTTCTCTTATGGGGAGTGGGAGAAATATAAGGTTGGATGCTTCAGTAAAGCTTGCAAAAAAAGTTTACTGTTTGTCTCCAAAATCCTCTTTGAACTTTACTTTACTTTACATTTTCGATTTCTATACCGCCCATGACCCCTAACGGGTCTCAGAGCGCTTTACAGTGCACTACTTATGTAGTAGTTAATTGTCTAACTAGGGCCACAATTTTCCGGGGAAGGGATTACCTAACAGCACCCATGTGGCATGTTCTCTTTCTCACCCGGCGGGCCTCGGGTGTTGTTCCTGGCGTCCGGGTGACTGGCGACCATCTCTGGTAGGCTCTGATGACTCCCTCTTCCTCTTTCTGGCGTGCAACTGCATTGGCCGCAGCTTCCGGCTATGCGTCCCGTCGGGCTCCTGCCATGCTGCGTCACCTTGCCGTTGCGTTGCCACGACTCCGCCTCCGTCCGATCTGGTCGCCGCCTCTTCGAATCACCAGTTGTTCTGTCGCCATTGTTTCTCGCCGCCGTTCCACTCGCCGCTGCCATCAGCACTCCTGGCACGGAACCAGGAGGAGGGTGCCCCCTGCCACCTAGGGCAGGTACCCATTTGTCTACTTGTCTTACTTTCGAGCCGCTGGGTTGGCGGGAGCTGGGACAGGGACCGGGAGCTCAATCCAGCCGCGGTGGGGATTCGAACAGCCATTGTGGCTGTTCGCTATAGATGTTACTTGCAGGCGGTGTACTGCCTGTGCCACCGCTCCCAAAATGGACCATGCTACTAGGTGGGGAGATCCGGTGAAAAGGCAAATCGGACAACATTGCCTTCCTCTTTTGCTGGTAACCCAGTGGCTGGTATTTGGCAATATCCTAGCTTTCTCACTTTTGAAAGCAGGGAAAACATGCTTTGGCTTTCCTTGGGGACAATATAACTGCCAGTTTGGGCCTCCCCCACAGCTATAGCCACTGATGGAGTAGATCCCAGTTCCCATAGTTTTCAGACCTAAGGTGCTGCCTGGATGTAACCACTGTGAGTCAGTGTCTTCTAAAGGGGATGTAACCCCTGTGAGTCAGTGTCTCCATGTTTGTGAAGTGTCTTTGGGGGGAAAGGCAAAGAAGCAGCATAGCCAGTAAGGAGGATAAAGGGCATCTTGTTTTGCAAAAGGAATAGCAAACAGCATACCCTCCAGTACAGGGCCAGTTTTATATACCCAGTTTTCTTCCCCTCCCCTGGTTGCTCAAGGCTATACTCCTACTGGTATCTGCTTCACTAATTTAGGCAGCAGTATTTTGTCCTACACAGACTTAAAAACCAAGAAGGTTGTTCTGGGTAAAATGTATGTAACAAGTTATTAACCATTCAAAATACAGTTCAACAGCTGCAGTATGTGAGAGCCAGCTGTACTTCATTGTTCATGTGCACTCATTTAAAGACAAGATACACTTGCTCACTTACAGTGCACTCCTAAGGAGAGTTTCTCCCATCTGCTCCATTGATTTTAATGGGCTTAGACTGGAGTAAATCTCTTTAGGATTGCACTGTTAGAGATCTGACATGCAGAAAATGGGGGAAAGGGGCAATCAAAGCAACTTGCACTAACAGAACTTTACTAAAGCGTCTCATAAAGCAATTTCAATCTTAGTTTATGGGTTGCTGGAGTGAGCACACATCTCTTAAAGCAGTACTTGTCAACTTTTCCACTCCTGGGACCCACTGAACTTAGAAACTGATCTGAAGATATATGACATTGGAGATACGTGATGTTAGAGTCACATAACTGGAAGAGGAGATGTAGTTATGGTCTCACTAGGGTCAAATCCAGGATTGTGAGCCGTAGACTAAGAGAAATGGTAACAGGAAATGCAAACCTAATATCAGGAGGTATACTTTATTGAGGAACAAGCCAAGGGTCACAGACATGGAGGTGGGATTACCAGGTTCCCAATAGGGGAGGGTAATCTTCTGCCCTCAGCTCTTGTTACCTGCCTTTGCTCTGGCAGCTATAGCAGGAGGGGGGGAAATTTAAAAATTGCCATTGGGTGACAGCATGATGTCACTACTGGGAAATAACAAAAAAGGGGGGAAACCCAACCTGAAAATCAAGTCGGGAACCTAAAAGGTTGAAATAAAATACAACTATTTATTGCACAATGTATTTTTAATGTTTAAACTCTTCTTTAATTTAGGGCCGTGCCTCACTAACTTCTGAGAAGCAACGATTTGCCCATCAACATGGTGAGATGACAAATCTAGAAGATATTGTCAGAAAACTAAAGCCAACTGCACTCATAGGTAACATCTATAGCTACATCTGTTCATCCAGCTAAGCTTTACTTTTCATTTTATTATCAGATGTATAAAGGTGAGGATACATATCCAGTGTGCAAAATTGGGTTTCAAGTGTATTTGAGAACTGTTATTCACATATTTCTCTTGGATTCGGCCACTGAAGGCAATACTTCCAGGCTCTTTTAAAACAGCTAATGTACCTTCTTGGGTAGTGTGTTAATAACAGCTTGAAAAATCACTGTTCTCGTGAAGAATGAGTAATGTACTGTGTTTGGAAGAAATCTTAAATTTGGGTAGAGTTGGATATGCTCTCTTAACCAACTCCGTGGTTTATCTCTGTCTCCTTAATTGACTACCAGAGTTATACAGTAATATAATCAGGACTTGAAGAAGAAGAAGAGACTCACTCATCGGACTCACAAGTCGACAATTGCCCAAAACTGGGTGCTACTGCCACCCATAGACAAACTACCAACAACAATTGAATATATTAATTTAGAGGGAAATTCCAGTTTTTTTGTAGATTTAATTAATTAGGGCTGGTTATTGATATTATTGTTGCTGATTTCCCCCCCAATTAACTATGGGTCTAAATTGATGAATTAATTTATAGGGAAATCCCAGGTTTTCTTTAGACTTCAGTAATGGGGGGGGGGGGTGTTTCTGATGCTATTACTGATAGATTTTTTTCCAATTAATTGCTGCGTCTAAATTAGAGAATGAATAGTACTAACTGCCCTATGGATGTGATTGATTAGTTAATTGATTGGTTATAAATTAACAATTGGTTGATTAGAGATTGAGGCTGGATAGCTTGAAGTTAAACTTTGCCACTGATTTATTAGCCTTTATTTATATTACTGGCTATAAAGAGGGGAAAAAGAAAAAAAGGCAATCGTAGGCTACTAGGCTAATTATATGGGCTGTAAGAGAAGTATTGAGAATAAATTTGTTGGGTGGAAATAACATCAAAGTTGGGAACGTATGGCAGTGGATGAGTAAGGGAACTTTTAACTTCAACAACAACTGTACACAGGGCTTTATTAATTAGCGCCAGTTTAGCTGGTTGGTCTGAGGTTCCAGCTGGTTGAGACTAGCAAAGCCCACCAGGGGGGGGTGATGGCATGGGATTCCAGTGCTCCTGGGGAGGGGAAAGTATAACGGTGGGGCCAGGCATGGAGCGAAGGGAAGGGAGCAGAGAAATAGAAGAGCTCGGCCCCCTTCCAGCCTGTACTCAATCCCGAGGGATGTTGGCAGTGGGGCTAGGATGGTTAACCCCTCTCCGACATTGGCGCTGTGTAATGCCAGGTCTATAAATAATAAGACCATGGTCCTCTGGGACTTCCTGCTAGAGCAGAACGTAGATCTGGTGTGCATGACCAAGACCTGGGTACGGGAAGGGGAGATGGTAGCTCTCTCCCAACTCACCCCTTCCGGGTTCTCGGTCCTTAGAATCATATTATCATAGAATGTTAGAGTTGGAAGGGTTCTTGCAGGTCATCTAGTCCAACCCCCTGCACTCTGTAGGAGCATAGCCGAAAGATAGCACTACAACATGCCTGAAAGATGGTTGTCCATCCACCATTTCCCGAGGCAGTCTGTTCCACTGCTCAACCACTCTTACAGTGGTTCACCAATCATTGGTTCTTACAGTGGTCCACCTGCACCAATTGTGGACTAGGGGATGGGAGGGGGGAGTGGCTCTATTCATCTGGGAGGCTTACTCCTTCAGGGCGCTCTCACCGCCAAAGATTGTGAGCATTGAGTGTGCCGGCCTGGTGTGGGAGGCTGGGGAGAGTGTGGCAATTTGGCTGGTGTACCGACCACTTAATGCACCGGCCAATAGCCTACCATCTCTGATGGAGGCCATATCAGGCTGGGCATTGGAACACCCTAGACTGATAGTCTTTAAAGCCCTATATGACCAGGGTCTGACATACCTTTCCCCATATATACCCCAGAGAGCACTGTGGTCGGGGTCACAGAATGGACTGACCCTCCTGGGCCCCAAGGATGCCAGGGCCTTCTCAGTGGTGGCTCCTTACTGGTGGAACAAGCTCCTGGAAGAGATCAGGGCCCTGCAGAATCTTCTACAGTTCCGCAGGGCCTGCAAGACGGAGCTCTTCCACCAGGCTTTCAACTAAGGAGCTGCCCTGACTACTACCATCAACAAACCCAGCCCTCAGCCTTAACATCTGGCCTATACCATCGCATGACTCAAGAAGACCACTGAGCTGGACTGTTTGCTTGCAGACAGTCTTAGTATACCACCTCAAGTAAGTAATGAAGGATTACTAGCACCTTATGATTTTTTTATTCATTTGTATTTGAATTGTTTTAAAATGATATTATGTGGTTTTATTTATATTTTTGTACCAACTGTGTTAGTCTGCTCGCGGGGAGGGCGGGGTACAGATTGAATAAATAAATAAATTTAAGATTTAAAAGTTATATTAACATAGCTGACTAAGTTCATAAAATTGTTAGCGTTTTAAGGGATGGCACTGTGTACAAGCTAATTTGATGATCTCCTCTCTTGGGTTTTTATCAGTAGTGGTTATCTTTTTTTTCTCCTTAAATGTAGTTCCCCTCCCCTATTTTCATTGTAGTTTGTAGTCCTTATATAAAATGCAATTAAAAAATCTCCTTCGGGGGGCCAATAAATAAATAAATAAAAGAGTAGGTTTTTATACCACACTTTTCTCTACCCTAAGGAGTCTCAAAGCAGCTTACAATCGCCTTTCCCTTCCTCTCCCCACAATAAGCCTGTGAGGTAGCTGGGGCTGAGAGAGCTCTGAGAGAACTGTGACTGGCCCAAGGTTACCCAGCAGACTTCATGTGGAGGAATTGGGGAATCAAACCTGATTCTTCAGATTAGAGTCCGCCACTCATAACCACTACACTACACCCTCTTGATCCTTCCTCCCTTCCTGCTTCAAATTCTCCAAAAACGAAAAAAGTATAAATGTGCATGTTATGCAGTGATATAGTTCTGCAACTGAACAAAACATAAGTACCTCAGTACCCACTATTATACAATCGTTCAGTGCTGAATGTGAAATTGAACAGAATATTATTGTTTTAAATGTTATTTTTAATCTGTATATGTGGTATACACAAGAACGACTGATCAGATCTGAGATTGGTTTTCCTGTTTGGATGATTAATTGTTTAAACTCTCTCCATTCAAGTGGTCTACTATTTTCCCAAGGTTTTTCATTAAGCTAAGTCTCAGCAAATGCCATATATGGATTTGTGGTAGAAACTGTTCATGAAGACGATTTGTTATCATTGGATTCAGTACAAAAACAATTACTTTAATAAGGCAATAAATTTAGCCAATAAAGCATCAGTGAAATTATCTTTCTGAATTTATTTTACCAGCTGTCTGGAAAGAACTGCTTATCTTACTGTTAATTTTCTAGAATCTAAATTCAAGTCAGCAGTTGAAAGAGCAAGTGACACAATACCTTTTTTTTTGGGGGGGGAGTTAAAAATACAGGTGCCAGCCTGTCAGGTTCAACAGCTCGCAAGTCCACACACACTCTTCAGGGAAAAGTTATGCTTTATTAGAATACAAGTCCGTTGCCAAGTGGTACAGGTACATTGTTAGAAATAACGGTTAGGGCTGAGGCATCAATACATATACTCTGATGCTGCAGTTGGCTAAGCAAATGAAATCCAAGCAAGCGCGCGGGAAATCTCCCGGCGGGATATTACATCATGAACGGGAGACTCTCCTTGCCCCATGAGAGCAGAAATATTCACACCGGCAGTGGAATGCAAGCCCTCCCTCCTCCTCAAGGTTACAGAGATAGCACAGTCTGGCAGAGCCAGTTCGCATGGTCTCATGAGCGCCTCCTGTTAGTTACCTACAGCAATTAAGCAAAGCAAGCAAGCAAGCAATCATGCGTGCATGCGCTACAGTCAGGGATGAACAAAAACAATGAAAGAATGGCAGCTAGCTGACACAGCCTTTGAACATTCTTCTTGAGGTATATGAGTTTGAACAAAAATTAAAAGAAAATTATGTGTTCAAGGTGGTGGCAATTTTGTAGAGTCCTTAGAACTTCAGCTTCTCCTCTTAATTATACCTTCGTTTAACGTGAGAATTTTGACCATTTCAGATCCTGAAATGTCTGCCTTTCAGACAGTCTACTGGAAATGTCTCCTGCACTTGCTCAATTTAAAAGAATGGGAATGGCACAAAAATAGCCTTATCTGTGTACCATGTACATGGAAAGCCCTGGTGGACTTCTTTGAAGTTTCACTTATACAATTTTTCACATGCTCCATTCTAAGCACTTAGATGCTGACAAAGGAAATGTAACAATTGGGCTCTTATGTATACTTAGGTTTCAGTAGCATATCAGAGACAGTTGTTAACATATTTAAGAGCGAGAATTCTAAAGAAATTCTTTTAAATTCAGTGTGCCAGAAATCTCCTAAAGCCAGGATTGTTAGACCCATGCTGAGGACCAGGGACTCCCTGTTTATTAAATGCTGGAATTCTATTACTGCTTTTTATGAAACATCCAAAGTGAAGAAAGGAAAATTAGAGCATTAGCTGTGATTTATTGAAATTTGCTCTTTGTGAAGACAAGTATGACATTTATTCAAGGACACAGAGAAATGCGGCTTTCTGTAACCTGCTGTGTTATATCTGTGACAACTCTGTTCCTTTAATCTGGGCCAGTGTTTTACACACCCAACCCACTCCAGGAATTAGGGTGGGCAAAAACAGATAAAAAAGGAGTTGTTGGAACTGCAGCTCCACACTGAGAAAGAATCTGATTATACTGTGCTCCTGTTTAAAACTCTGCTAACTCTGCTCAGGGTAAAAGAGGAGAGCGTAAAAGTGGGCTTGAAGCTCAACATCAAAAAAACTAAGATCATGGCATCCGGCCCCATCACTCCTTGTCAAATAGAAGGGGAAGTCGTGGAAGTAGTGACAGACTTCACGTTCCTGGGATCCCAGATCACCGCAGACTGTGACAGCAGTCATGAAATTAAAAGACGCCTGCTCCTTGGGAGGAAAGCCATGGCGAACCTAAACAGCATGATAAAAAGTAGAGACATTACCCTGCCAACAAAACTCTGATGCCCGGTATTAAGGACACTACGTGTTATGGAGGTGGAAAGTGCCATCAAGTGCCAGCTGACTTATGACAACCTTGTAGGATATTCAAGGCAAGATGTGTTCAGAGGTGGTTTGCCATTGCCTGCCTCTGTGTCACAACCTTACACTTCATTGGTGGTCTCCCATCCAAATGCTAACCAGGGCTGACCCTGCTTAGCTTCCAAGATCTGACAAGGTCAGGCTAGCTTGGGCCATCCAGTTCAGGGTTGACATGATATAGCAACACTTTTTTTTTCTTGTAAAAAATGGCAACATATCATAGTTGCCCCACTCCCTTTTGCTGTACTGTACCTTTCTACTTGTGTGTGACTTTGTCATTGTCAGACCCCCGTACGTACTCACTCCCAACAACACTCTTCGTGTGAAAGATTTGTTTACTGAGATATGCCATCGATACAGGTGTAAGCCAACTTGTGTCAGAACTGGCAGGCATTGGTGCCAAGCCCACTATTATACCCACTTCAAACTACCCCCCCCCATACTGGGGTCCAATCACACGGGTCATCCATCCTGCCAAGCCAAAGCACGGTCTTTCCCCCCCCCACACACACACCTGCGTACTACAAAGTGTATCTATAGCAGCATTCCTGGCAGCAAAAGCTTCAAGGACACTTCATCTTCCTTCCTCGGGAGGCTGCTTGGGAAAGAGTTACAGGCAGCTAGCAAAACTCGTTCCCACACATACCTTCCCCATTCACTCCCCCCCAGCTCTAAGCGAAAGCATCCCAGAAAACAGAAAGCAACATGGCAAATGACGTACAGAGTTTGACAGTCATCTTGTGTGTTTACCCATGTCTGTTCCATGTATTTGGCTGGGCATGAGTGGGAACTGTTCTTAGGCTACATTGACATGTCACCCTAAATGTACCTTTCGAACTTCAGCCAGTTATATATTCACTCTAGATGTACTGCTATCAGTCTGTCAACAGTAATTTCTTTGTCTTCTAAAGTCTGAACCAAATAGACGGAATGGTGAAATATAGCAGAACAGCTACAATAAAAATAGTATTGGCAGTGTTCTCTGACCCTTTGGAAGGACAGCTTTTAGATTGGATATCAAAGGAAGGAGAAAGATTTCATTTTTCACAACAATCTGTTATACTTCTGTTTTACTTAGGAGTTGCTGCCATTGGTGGAGCATTTACAAACAAGATTCTCAAGGATATGGCATCCTTCAACAAGCGGCCAATTATTTTTGCTCTTAGTAACCCAACTAACAAAGCAGAATGCACCGCTGAGGATTGCTATAATCTAACTGAGGTAAGGGAATCTTGCTTGTTAGTTTTATTTCATCAGTCAGGCAGAATAGTCAGGTACCTGGTTTGTAAATTTAAAAAAGACATATGTAAGTTCTCATGCTTTTCAGTAAAGATTTTAAGAGCAGAACTTCTTTGTGATTTCCTCAAATGTCAGTGCGGATATGGAGCTCATTATCTCTTGACTTACCTGAGAAGGAAGGATACTACCTTTCAGGATAAAACGGTTGCAGCAGAAGAAGATATTCCTCTTATAGAGGAAAGGCTGAAGAGTCTGGAACTTTTCAGTTTAGAAAAGAGATGATTAAGGGGGGACATAATAGAAGTTTATAAAATTATGCATGGGGCAGAGAGAGTTGACAAAGAGAAATTTTTCTCCCTCTCCCAAAATACTAGAGCTTGGGGGCATCAGATGAAATTGATGGGCAGTAGATTCAGGACGGACAAAAGGAAATACTTCTTTACACAGAGAGAGGCTGCAATGTGAAATTTGCTGCAAGAGGATGTAGTGATGGCCACAGGAATAAATAGCTTTAAAAGGGGATTAGATGACTTCTTGGAGGATAGGTCTATCAGTGGTTACCAGCCATGGTGACTGAGGGGAACCTCCGCATTCAGAGGCAGTCCACCTCTAAATCCCAGTGCCAGGAGGCAATATCAGGGGAAGGTCTCAGCCTCTCTGCAGTGGGCCCTCCAGAGGAACTTGTTGGCCACTGTGTGGGACAGAATGCTGGACTAGATGGACCACTGCTCTGATCCAGCAGGGCTTTTCTTCTGTTATGATATGAAGTGGCTTTCCATTTATGTGCCTTGGTCTAGAAAAACAGGCATTGTTAGACGAGTTTAAAAGATCATTGGATTTTGGAAGAAACAATCTGAAGCAAGAAGTTACAGGGCAACTAAAGGACAGAGGGTTGTGGACAACAGATGTAGAGGAAATTACTAGGAATATACGGGCAAGAAGAGGAGAGAAGGCTGCTAATGACAGTATGCTGGATATGTACGGGATGGACAGAGGGATGGAGAACCAGAGTGTATTGCTTCTGTGTTCATAGTATTGCAGTATTTAAGATCAAATTGCAAGGGTTGGAAAGTATCAGTGTGATTTTTATTGGATCATTATGTGGGAAAAGATACTAGGGAAAAGATACAAGGTAACAGCAGACTCTTAAAAATCATATCTGTATAGATTCTAATGCTGCCCAGCATTAGAATAGTAATAGGTAATGAATTCTAATAGCTAATTATGGTTAAACAATAATCAACATGAATTTTTATTGTATAGGTTCCTAGTTCTAGGGAATACTCCTAAGCAGGCCTACTCAGAAGTAAGTGCCATTTTATTCAGTGGGCCTTACTTCCAGGAAACTGTTCTTAGGCTGCGATCATACGCACAATTAGACCCACCATAGGCGTGAATGCCGGGTGGATTTAAAGGGCGCGATCAGACAACAACATCTGGGAAGCGCCCCGCAGCCATTGGCAACCCGTTCTGCTCTGCTGCAGAAGCAGAGTTAAAAGACATCGGGGAAAATACAGTAGTAAACGGGTTGCGACGGGCCACGGACAGACTTTCCGCTGTCTGATTGCTCCAGCGCGCTCTCATGGCATCGGGATGGTCTGCTCAGGCCATCCCAACTCCATGCCATTGTTCCCCCCCCTCTCAGTATGCACATCATTGCAAAGTCCATAGGGGGCCCTCAGTGCAGAGATGTGATTCATTGATTCCTCGTTTAAGCGCACTGGAAACAAACAGCAAAAAACCCCACAACCCGACTCACCCGCGGTTGCATCTGATCATGCAGTGGCGGGCTGTGCCTGCAGCTTCCAAGGACTGTGTGATCGCGCAACTGCGGGTCAAATTCCTCCAGAGGAAATAGCCTTGCTCCCCCCCTTTGTCTGGCGCATGTGACCACAACCTTAGGATCGCAGCCTCAATAATAAAATTATTTAGAATTGTTGATAGGTGTGAAAAATTGAAAATAATTTAAGAAAATAGTCTAAATTTATTTTAACTGGTTTATTGGTTTGAAGCAAGTGGTAGGAATTTTTTTAAAAAATCATATAATCAAAACATTAGAAACTGCTGCATATGAATTGCAGACTGTTTACTTTATTTGATGGCTAGCACATAGTCTCTTGAATTTCTCGTGATACAGTGTAGTTTTATAACTTTATAAATAGAACAAAAATTTAGCATGTCATGTTTGCCTACTGAAAAGTCCACATTGGAGTGCAATGCAGGAATGAAACAGGAATGCAGATATTTTGAACAGTATTGCTATAATGGGAGGTACATCTGGTAACCAGAGCTAAAAATACACTGAAATATCTGATCGCCCATCAAAACGTATGAAGCAAACCATTATAATTTTGCATGACACCAAGTTATAGTATATTCATTTGAATAACTGGAGTGTGTTGGTGTTTGTGTATTATAAATATGCATATTTGCAGTTCTCTACATCAAACAAGGCTCCTTTCTATTGCGGTAAAAATATCTAGCAAGCTGCATGAGCTTTCACTTCAGCACAGGCACTTCCAAACACATGGGATCAACTATTTAATTAATAGATTGGTAAAAATCAGCTTACTGAAACGAGGCTATTGGACTTGTATTTTTTTTATTCCAGTTTTTACTCCAGGAGGTACAAATTAGGCATAAATAGCACTGGACATTTTGGATGCTACCTTTGCAAAATCTACTAACAGTGCCTACCAGAAGAGGAATTATTTTCTATGCATAAGGCTAATGGGACACTGCCTCCATTTTGTGGGCTTATTTGTGTGTTCATAGCTGAAGCTGGTTCTCATCTATATATCTAATAGGCACTCTCTTTTTTCTGTGTGGATACGTATTTCCACCCATAGAGGGCTTGCTCTCTCCCAACAACTTTTCCTACATACTCAGGGGCCTTTCTGGGTCTGCAGAAAAATCCAAAAAGTTTTTAAAAAACCCTTCAGGGACGGTTAAATTCCCCCCAATACCTTTTGAAATGGCCTCTGCAGGGATCTACTTCAGGCATTAACGGTGAGAGAGTAGAACATTGGGGGGGGGGAGAAGGACTTTTAACTGGCTCTGTCAGTAAAAGGGAGGGAGAGGGAGAAGGGCCCTTTCTTGGCCTATTTTTGCCATTGGGGGAGGGATCCTTGGGGCCAGGCCTGACAAGGGTCCTAGAGATTCTGTGGTGGACTCCAAGGAGGGCTGGGTTTGGGGAAGGGAGGGGCCTCAGCTGGGTATAATGCTACAGAGTCCACCCTCCACCCTCCAAAGCAGCCATTTTCTCAAGGGAGACAGATGTCGGCTGTCTAGAGTTCAGTTGTAATTCTGGGGGATCTCCTGGTTGCAGTCTAGGGTTGCCAAGTTCCCCCTGGCCACCGGCAGACTCCACCCTCCAAAGAATCCATTTTCTCTACGGGAAGTTATCTCTGTAGTCTGGAAATGAGCAGTAATTCCAGGGGATCCCCAGGTCCCACCTGGAGGCTGGCATCCTTAGCCAGCGCCCTCTGGGTGATTTGATACCACCTGATTTGCTTGACTCAACTAGGCCCGGCTACTTGCTACTGTTCATCAGCAGCCAACCTATGAAAGCCAGTGTGATGTAACAGTTAGAACTTCAGAGTAGGGTTTGCAAGATGCAGGTTCAGATCCCCATCTTGCGGTGGAAGCTGACTGGGTGATTTTGGACCAGTCACATACTTTCAGCCTAACCAACCTCACTGGGTTGTTGTGCAGATAAAAAGGTGGAGAGAATAATGTAAGCTGCTTTGGTCTCCACTGTGGAGAAAGAGGCAATGGGGGACGGGGGTGGATATGGAAAGCTGAAGACAGAGAGGCAGATAAAGGTAGGTTGGCTGTTGAGTGAGAAGGAAATAGGGTTGCCAACTCCAGGTTGGGAAATTCCTGGGCATTTGTGGGGTGGAGCCTGGAGAGGGTGGGATTTGAGGAGGGGAGGAACTTCAGACCACCCCCCAAGACAGCCATTTCCTCTACCATTGCCAGCCTCCATGTGAGGGCTGGAGATCACCCCAAAATTACAACTGCTGTCCAGGTGACAGAGATCAGTTCCCCTGGATAACATGGCTGTTTTGGAGGGTTGACTATATGGTATTATACGCTACTGAGGCTGCTTGCCTCCCCAAGCCTCACTGTCCCAAGGCTCCACCCCCCAATCTCCAGGAATTTCCCAACCTGGAGCTGGCAGCCCGAAGGTGAATTGATCTCTGTAGCTGAGAGATCCATTGTGATTCCCAGAGCACTGCCACTGCTGCTGTGGGGGGAGAAGAAGCCGGTGCGTGGCTGGGAGCACTGCCACCACTGCTGCTGCTGTGTGGGATGGGGGAGGAAGCAGGCAGGAGGCTGGGAGACGGATGGGGCAGAAAGAGAGAGTGATGGGGTGGGGGAAGAAAGAGAGAGAAAGGTGTGGGGAGGCAGAAAAACAAAGAGAATGATGATGGGTCAGAAAGAAAGAGGAAGTCACATGCATGGAGGAGAAAGACAGAGTAAGAAAAGGGGGACAGAAAGGAGAAATAGTGTGAGAAAGGCGGGGCAAGAAGGGAGGAAGCAAAGGTGTGAGGAATGGGATAACCATCCTGCAAGTTTTTTGCGGGTCTCCACAAACTAGCAGGCTCTGTGGTCATGGTTTCTGTCTGGGAGTATTTGGAATTCTACTTGATAATGCTTATTTCCAGTATATGGTTTGAATATTACAATATTTGACACATGACCGGGTGTCTCTTCCAGTCATTCAAATGTCATATTCTCTCTCTGAAAGTAGTGTTTTGTAAATGTAGTTGTGTGATCTAATTATCCAGGTCTTTTTTCTGTTAACATTTTTCAAGACTTTTTTCCCTCTGTTTCAGGGTCGTGCCATTTTTGCAAGTGGGAGCCCTTTTAAACCTGTCACTCTTCCAGATGGACGCACATTTTTTCCTGGACAGGGTAACAATGTCTATGTGTTCCCAGGAGTTGCCCTTGGAGTTGTTTCATGTGGAGTGAGGCATATAAGTGATGAAATTTTCTTCACTACTGCCGAGGTACTAGTTCTTTGTATACTGAAATGAGTATAACCTATGCTCAACAGGCATGACATACAATAAACATAGGGATTCCTTTGCCCCACTGAAAGCCATTGCTCACTGACCATTACACAAAGATGGCTCAGCCAGTCTTGCAGTTATCCTAAATCAGACTAGTCAATCAAGCATACATTGTGGCTATAGTACAGCATTGGCTCCCATTCTTGTGGCTGTGACAAGTGTATGACTCTGTTCTTTCAAACTTACATCTTAAAAGCCAACTCAGAATAATGCAGTGCAATTAATCAAAGCCAAGCTCATTCCACCAGAATAGCTAATTCAGCACTGAGCCACTATGGAACTCTCTGGTCATTATCTACAGCATCAGTTTGAAGGTATTGTAACAAATGTGCTGTATTAAATCCAAGTGCCAGGTATATTCTTTTGTGGAACAAGTATTTAACCATCTTGGAAATTCTGTCTGGGATCTGATTCATAAAATTATGTAGGATGGAATGATTACCACGCCCCGCACATAGTCTCAATATGAGTTGGAGCCCTATTTGACTGCTATATCCCTTTAAGAACACTGGAAAGATCTACTGAAACAGTTGGAGCATTCAAACAGCAGAACAGGAAATCTGATTGTTTTAAACCACTGGTTCAGCTGGTTCTCTTCCCATCAGAAGGATGGAATAACCTATGCTTAATATTAAACTTCGGTTTACCACACATTTTGTCAGTGCTTATGACACAGAATTGGTGTTAGCCAATACAGAATTGTATGCATTATAGAGAGCTGTATTCTAAAGAGAGTACTACCCAAGAATAGGGATGAGTATGAACTGGGAAAATGTAGGTCGGTTCGTGCTGTATCCAGTTCGTGAACCAAAAACCATCACAAACTTTTAAACACCAAATTAACTGGTTTGGTTCGTAAATCGGTAGAATGCCTCCTGGTGTGCTAGAGACACCAAACTCACAGAGGATCTCCAGCTGACTCTCCTCTACCTGCCCTCCAAGTTTGGTGAGGATTGGATGTACAGGGTCCAAATTATGCCCCCCCCCAAAGGTGCCCCAGGAAAGCGCTTTCTGGGGAAATGACAGGTGCAGGTTCAGGAGTGTATAAAACGGATCCTGTGCAAGCTAGAGACATTGAAATCATAAGGGACTTCCCCTGGATGCTCCTCTACATGCCCTTCAAGTTATGTGCAGATTGGACATTGGGGGTCTGAGTTATGCCCCCCCCAAACAAAAGATGCTCCAGGAAAGTGCTTTTGGGGGAAATGTCAGGCGTAGGTTCAAAAGTGCAAGCTACACACATTAAACAAACATGGCTGGAGAATTCTGCCCCCCTGTTGCTTTGAAGTTGCTTTGTTGCTTTAAAGTTTGGTAAACATTTTGACTGAGTAGAGACAGTCTGTCTGGAAATGTATCCATTCATGAACCCAGGGATCATTTCGTAGAAAAAGAGGTGCAGAAGCTCAGTAGCGTAACTCCTTAGCATAACTTATTTGCATATGCCACACCCCGACGTCACCGAAGTGTGTCAGAAGGCAACACCCACTGCTCAAGCTCCACCCCAAAAATCTCCAGGTATTTCCCAACTCAGAGCTGGCAAGCCTACCTGATGGCACACGTGGGGAAAAACAAACAAACCACCCATGTCAGGTAAAGAGGGGGGATACCAGGAAGCCAGGTCAATATATTTTTATTCTCCTTGACATTGATAGCTGAGGTGCTTTTAGTGTTCCTTTTCTGTTTGACTGGCAGCCTTCCGCTCTGTTATAGTTGACTGTGAGTTTTATATCACTGCACAAGAATTCTTGCTAAGGCTAAGAGCCAGTTAAATTTTGAAGGAGCTTGGTTAGAGGAAAAGGAACATGGACACTTGAGCATATCAATGATAGGAGATAATCTGCACTCTAATCTTTTCACCTTCTCCTTCAACCTAACCTGCTCTCTTCCTTTCATGCAGTAATTTCTTGAGAGATACCTAAGGTCAAGCCTGCATAGAAATTATAGTATCTAATTTGGGAGGCTTTTATTCCAATGACAATTGTGATCATTCTGTGATGAAAATTAAATATTCTGCATACGTTTACAGGCATTCTTCAGCCATGGAAGTTTTAGTCACCAGGCCGTATTTATCTGGAAACCTGGATTTTGTTTTCCAGCCCATACCATCCCTTCCTACAGCATGTTCTTTCTTGAGTCATTTATATTTGTGGGGTTCAGCTTTTATTGTCCTAAAGCTACTTCTATTATAGCAAACCTTGGCTACTCTTATTGGATGTGACCCAGATCCATTAAAATCAACAAGAAGCTTTATTCTCACTGACCTGGGAACTAGAATTGCAAGTATGAACCAGAATATGCTCATTGCTTGTCTGTGTCAGCTTTCACTTGCTGGAATAAGACATAAGCTGGTGATGAGTTTGATCTACTTGACAGTTCTAGGCAGTCAGCTCAGCTGGAATGAACTGGTTCTGTCCTGTTCTGTCTTGTACTGAGTGACCAAGTCAGAGTGACTAAGCAGTCTTTACCTGATTGGCTAATACTTGTATATAAGTGTTCTTCCTTTTGATGTACCTGCGTATGGCGAAGCACTCTGTCGGTGCGTATCTTGATGTATATAACTTGTGTAAATAAATCTGTAAATAGTTTTACACAAGACTGTTACGTCGCTGGATACTTCTAGCAACCCTAATACCACTTTGTGTGGGCAGGCTCGCTACACCAACAGTCTGTTAGCCCATGTAATTCTAACAGGGCAACATGTTAGGAATGTTTTTCAAAAGAGAATCTTGCCTCCGTGCAGAGACTGGAATATGTGACCTTCAGGTCTTTCCAGCTTTTTGCAGACAATTCAACAATTTTTGGTACCTGAGGCACAACCTAGCAAGCAGAAGACAAAACTCCATAGCAGGAAAGAGTTTTAATATTTTGCCCAAGAGTAGAATCTGAAATTTTGTCTGTTACTTTCAGGGTGTGCAGGCTATTTGTGGTCATTATATAACTATTAGCCCATCAGGAAGAACATGGTAAAATGATGCTAATAGGCCTTACTCATCCCAAATATCCTGACTGGCAGCAACTCTAAAGTGCTTTCAGCAGGCAAAGTTCTTTCTCAGAACCTGCCATCTGAGATCTTTTTTGCTGGAGATGCCAAGGATGGAACTGGGACCTTGTACATGCAAACCATCCTTTATCACTGAATCATGACTCACAGAACAGGTGTCCTTGGACTCTTGCTTTTAAAGTTGTCCTGCTATTAAAATTTTTTTTTTCGTCTTTCCCCAACATAGAACTGATATAGAAATCAAAAAGCTTTGTCACTTGTGTTAACTTCCATGCCCGAGTCCCTGATAAGAAGCAGGCGAAAAAGCACATCGTACTGTTTGGGCATAGCTGGGCCGCTCCAGCTTCAGCCCCGCGCGGCGCCTGCTGCCATCCCAGCTTCCCTCTTTGCGGTGCCTGTCTCTTCTGAGCTGCAGCACCGGCGAGCAGGCGTGCGGGGGAAGAAACCTGGAGATGAGCTTGCTTGCAGCCCCGGCACCGGGGGGGGGGGGATACCCAGAAGAGCGCGCTACTCCGAGGAACTGGCGCACAGGTTATGTCGGGGAATCACCTCTTCATGGGGCATTGCAGGCAGGCAAAGGAGGAGCAGTGGGAGGCTTTCCCACTGCTGCTCCCTAATGGGGAGGGAAGCGCAGGGCTGATTTGCAGTCTGCGCACTGTGCCTAAACTGAGCCTTCCCAGAGGGCGAGCGCATTACCTTTGGAAGGTGGTGGTGGGGTTGCGGAGGCCTTTCCAGAGCCTGGAAAGGCGGTGGGGGAGCAACTTACCTACCTTCCTTCTTTCTCCTTGCAGCCCAACTGAGGGGAGGGCTGCTGGGAGCAGGGGGTGGAGCTTCCTACATGTCCCCACCCCCTGGCCTCCTCACTGCCAGAGCTTCGCTCCAGTGAGCTCTGGCAGCAAATGAGGCCTGCATGAACCAGCATGAACCTCCATGAACAGCATGAACATTTGTGCTGGTTGACCTGCCACAATCTTCAGTGTGTGAACCACAAACCGGCCAAAATTCATCACAAACTTTAGTTCATGATCCAGTTCGTGCCCATCCCTACCGAAGAAGGTAGTAGAAGAAAGGCTGGTGGTGACAATGAAGAATAATGTTTGTAAATAGCTTGATAAGTGCCTTCAAAAAACTGATCTTAGTATGTCCATTTCTTGCTGAAAATGAAGTCTATGTTTTTAACAAGGACATTTAGTTTCTAAGGCTGAATCTGCATTTGTCTTTCCCACCAGTGTCCCAGCCTTTTGACTCCGTCTTCAAAAGAGCTGTCTACATTTGGTGTTGTTTCACACCTCAAGACTGCTAGCATACTTTTGCACGTCCACATATGTTTATCATCCTTTCGGGGCGGCTCCGCTGTCATTACACCTCTGCACTGCTTTAAAAGAATCTTCTCCAAATAATATTCAAATAAGCGTAGAGAAAGACGGCGTCACAGCAGCATGAAACTAATTTTAAAATGCAAATGCAGATTCGACCTAAGAGGCCAACACAGAAACACATGTTGACCTCTTTGAAATGGGCCTCTTCAGAACTGGATACTGATTTGCTTTTCTTAAGAAAACCACAGGAAGTGAATAATATTCTGATGTATCACCTACTACGGAGGTACATATAAAACAATGTGATATACACTCAGCAGTAGTAGGTATTAGAGCCTCCTAATTCTCCTGGTCTGCCACCTGGTGATCTTCTTACATTCTCTAGAGAGAGGTAAGGTGACCTCTGTGCTTTGACCCTGATATTTCAAAATCTGAAATCATGAAGCATACTAAATTTCATCTAGAAAAGTACTAGCAGCAAATATTTCTACAAGTAATTTGCTGCTTTTTCTTTTTTTTAAATTACCACTTTTATTTACTTGTCAGAAATTCTACCAACAATTTTATTAAATTGGGTGTTTACAATTTGCCAGCAATGTGTCCTTCCTGAAGAAACC